AGTTTCTGTCAAGAGCTCTCTCAGTCCCACCAACCTCACAGGGTGTCTGTTGTGGGGAGGGGAGGGGAAGGGAAAGGAGTTTGTAAGCCGCTCTGAAACTCCCTTGGGTAGTGAAGGGCGGAGTATAAATCCAATCTCTCTCTTTTCTCTCTCTCTCTCTGATATGCCTGGTCATCATGTTGTCCGAATAGGGGCAACATGGGCATTTTGTAAGTGGGTACAGCTTTCAGGATGCAGGAACCAGAACACAAGTATGTACTGGCAAAATATGCCTACTGTCCCTGTTTAGACAACATGGCCACCACACATTTTGGGAAGATCTCTGTGAGGCTGTTGGCCTGCCGGTATGCACAGACACAACGCCTGAAAAGCGCTGCCACGTCGTTTCAGTGCTCCACATGTTTGAATAGGAATTACGAGAATATGCACCCTTTCCCCCCTCCAAAAGCCAAATGTGTGCCAATGTACTTCTGTGGCAGGCTACCTAGCAAGGGCCTGCCCGGTGGCCACACCCCTGGGATCAGCGACAGGACTCACCTGAGGGATGTAGGGTGGTCGCTAGGGTTGCCAGGTCCCCCCCCCGGCCACTGCCAGATCCAGGTTGGGAAACTCCTGGGGACTTGGGGATGGAGCCAAGGGAGGACAGGGACCTCAGTGGGGTACAATGCCATAGAGTCTACCTCCAAAGCATCCATTTTTTTCCCAAGGGAACTGCTCTCTGAAGCCCGGAGATGAGCAGTAATTCTGGGGGATCCCCAGGTCTCACCTGGAGGCTGACACCCCTAGCAGGAGCAGGGCATAAAGGTGTGGTCCTGGGAGCCTCAGCAACAGGGCAGCTTTGCCAGTCTGTCCCAAGGAAGCGCAAAAGGTCTGGACGCAGTGAGAAAGCCTGGCTGGGAGAATAGTGCGTCTCTGGGCCCAGGTGTTTTAAGGCAGGGCCTGGCTGTGTAAAGCAGGGAACAGAGAAGAGGAGGGTGGAGCTTAGCTCAAGGGCCAGGAGTGAAGCCGGTGCTATATATGGAGAGTTCCTCAAAAAGGACATTATAGCATTGGGAAAAGTGCAGAAAAGGGCAGCTAGAATGATAAAAGGCTTGGAACACTTTCACTATGAAGAAAGGTTAAGGCGCTTGGGGCTCTTTCGCTTGGAGAAACGACGGCTGAGGGGTGACATGATTGAGGTTTACAAGATCATGCATGGGATGGAGCAGGTAGAGAAAGAGGTACTCTTCTCCCTTTCTCACAATACAAGAACTCACGGGTACTCAATGAAATTGCTGAGCAGTCAGATTAGAACAGATACAAGGACGTATTCCTTCACCCAAAGAGTGATTAACACATGTAATTCACTGCCACAGGAGGTGGCGGCGGCTACAAGCATGGATGGCTTCAAGAGGGAATTGGACAAACATCTGGAACAGAGGTCCATCAGTGGCTACTAGCCAGAAGGTATATACAGAAACTCTCAGTCTGGGGAAAGTGATGCTCTGTATTCTAGGTGCTTGGCAGGGGGAACAGTGGGAGGGCTTCTAGTGTCCTGGCCCCACTGCTGGACCTCCTGATGGCACCTGGTATTTTTGGCCACTGTGTGACAGAGTGTTGGACTGGATGGGCCATTGGCCTGATCCAACATTGGCTTCTCTCATGTTCTTATAAGAAAGGGATGTGGGAGGAGGCTTGCTGAAAAAGGTACAGGAGCAGAATGGAAAGCCAAGTCAGCTTGGGCGAGAAGGGGAAAGAAGAAGCCAGAAAAGGAAGATGAAGTGTCTTGGGGAAGTTGCGAAGCAAAGAGAAGAAGAAGAGATTGGATTCCTACCCCGCCCTTCACTACCCAAGGGAGTCTCAGAGCAGCTTACAAACTTCTTTCACTTCCCCTCCCCACAACAGGCACCCTGTGAGGTAGGTGGGGCTGAGAGAGCTCTTGACAGAAACGGCTCTTTTTTCAAGAACAGCTCTTTTCAGAACTACGGCTTGCCCAAGGTCATCCAGCCATGTGCAAGTGGAGGAGTGGGGAATCAAACCCGCTTCTCCCAGATTAGAGTCCGCACACTTAACCACTACACCAAACTGGCTCTGGGAGGTTGGGTTGATTTATGTCTTAAGTATTTTATTGTCGGCTTCAGCTTAATTCATTTGTTGTATACACTTTCATTGTAAGCTGCCCTGAGCCCTACTTTTGTGGGGGAAGGACAGCCTTAAAAAATCTAATAAAATAAAATGACAGTACAGTTTTATGTCATAATTCTCCTGGTGTTCTTGCTGAAACTGGCAAACCCAGGCTCACATTCTCTCCCCGCCCCATAATTAACACCACTTATTTATTTATTTATTTATTTATTTTTCAGATTTTTAAAAAAAATAACTTAAATAACACTCTGCACCCTTCATGAGCCCCGGAAATTAATTTGTGCTCGCAGTGCCAACTCAGAGATTCTCGGGAGACTTTAAGGGGTGTGTGTGTTTGAGCTTCCTGCTCCCCCCTTGCTCTGTTATTTATTAATGAAATTTACTTACTCTTTTATCACACTTACAATTTCATGGAATCCTTTACAGTTTCACGGAGGATTATTAGTCCTCTTCATCACAAAAGTGCATAAAGCAAACCTCAAGAGTTTGTTGAATGATATTCTCAAGGCCATATTGCATGTTTCGCCGTTAAAAAGTCTGAAAACGGTGGTACTTGAATACAGCTGGTATATTAGATTCCCTATCTGCATTATAAATAACTGCCAATGATTCAACTTTTGTTCTCAAAGTCAGCAGCTAGTCTGCATGCAATTATGCATGGGTGTTCATGGCTGACTTGTCTAGCAACTCCAGCTTCTGCACGCATCCACTCATCTAGGTAGTTTGACTGTTTCTGATGCCGTCTAACAAAGGCACAAGGCCATAACCTGTCAAAATCACATTGTGGAGTCGTCTGCATGCGAGTGAAATCGTCTGCTGTGACAAGGCTGAGGGGCAAAGTAGACCAGATGCTGGGAGATCTAGGAATGGATCTCCCAAGTGCAGTGTTCCCTCTAAGCTGAGTTAGTGTGAGCTAGCGCACAGTTTTGTAGCCTCCGGCTCACACATTTTTTGTCTTCGCTCAGGAAGGATGGCTCCAGAGCAAACTAATTCATGCCGAAGCCAAATTGCTCGCTCACAACTTTGATGCCAGGAGCTCACAAAGTAGAATTTTTGCTCACAAGACCCCACAGCTTAAAGGGAGCATTGTCCAAATGTTTCTGTTGGTCATTAACAGCTGTAGATCTCTGGCCCTAACCCAGCTTCAATACACTGATATCAGTGATGCCAGCAAAGTTCTGAAACACAGATTTAGAATGTGAAATAAACAGCTCACAATGCCTAGATGGGAGGGAAGGCGGCAGGGCATAGCCCAATCTCATCAGTCCTCAGAAGCTAAGGAGGGCTGGGGCTTGGCTGAGAGACCACCAAGGAAGGCTTCTGCAGAGGAAGGCAATGGCAAACCACCTCTGCTTCTCACTTCCCTCGAAAGCCCCTTTGCTGGGGTCACCATAACTTGGTTGTGACTTGGAAGCACAGGCAGGGGTCATTTCAGAAAAAGAGGTGCAGGAGCTCATTAGCATAACCTATTAGCATAACTTATTTGCATACGCCACACCCCCTGACACCACTGGAAGTGTGTCAGAAGGCAACACCCACCGCTCAGGCTCCATCAGGGAGGCATTTAAATGCCTCCCCGTGCCTTCCCCGGTCTGTCCGAGGGCCAGCTTGTCCGGGCTCCCCACAGCTGCAGGGCACCCGGGCAAGCCAAGGGAATGCATGGGGGTGTGGCCTAATATGCGGATGAGATTCTGCTGTTGGGTGTGGCCGGTCATGTTAGTGAGTTCCTGCTGGGCTTTTTCTCTGCTTCTCTGCTTCTCACTCGCCTTGAAAATCCCTTGCTGGGGGTCACCGTAAGTCAGCTGGGACTTGAGCCCAGTTTGGTGTGGTGGTTGAGTGCGCGGACTCTAATCTGGGAGAACTGGGTTCTATTCCCTCCTACTCCTCCACTTGCACCTGCTGGATGACCTTGGGCAAGCCGTAGTTCTGATAAGAGCTGTCCTTGAAAAAGAGCAGTTTCTGTCTGAGCTCTCTCAGACCCGCCGACCTCACAGGGTGCCTGTTGTGGGGAGGGGAAGGGAAAGGAGTTTGTCAGCCGCTCTGAGACTCCTTTGGGTAATGAAGGGTGGGGGGTATAAATCCAATCACCTCCTCCTCTTCTTCTTCTGAGCCCAGTTTGGTGTAGTGGTTAACTGCGCGGACTCTAATCTGGGAGAACTGAGTTTGATTCCCGACTCCTCCACATGCAGCTGCTGGTGTGACTTTGGGTCAGTCACAAGTTCTCTCAGTGCTGTTCTCTCAAGGGCAGTTCTCAGAGAGCTCTCTCAGCCCCACCTGCCTCACAGGGTGTCTGTCGTGGGGAGGGGAAGGGAAAGGAGATTGTAAGCTGCTCTGAGACTCCTTCAGGTAGTGAAGGGCGGGATATAAATCCAATCTCTTCCTCTTCTTCTTCTTGATGGCACTTTGCCCACAGAGAGGCGGAAGAGGTGATGGCGGGGGGGGGGTAGTATATTCAGGGTTGCTGGCTGGCCACCCAGCTCATGCACACACAGACATTTAAGAAGAAGAAGAAGAGACAAGAAGAAGAAGAAGAAGAGGTTGGATTTTTACCTCGCCCTTCACTACCCTAAGGTGTCTCAGAGCATCTTACAATCTCCTCTCCCTTCTCCTCCCCGCAACAGACACCCCGTGAGGTCGATGGGGCTGAGAGAGCTCTTGACAGAAACTGCTCTTTTTTCAAGAACAGCTCTTATCAGAACTACGGCTTGCCCAAGGTCATCCAGCCCGGTGCAAGTGGAGGAGTGGGGAATCAAACCCGGTGCTCCCAGATTAGAGTCCGCGCACTTCACCACCACACCACACTGGCTCTCTAAACCTGACAAATAAGCAAGAATCAAGGTTATTGCCTCTTCTCCCTGCTTCGTCCTGTCTCTCACCTGCTCCCCCTCCCACGCTGCACTGATGAGGCAAGGCTTCGTGCTCCCCCAGCTGAAGGCAAACGGGAGGGAGGAGGTGGAGGAAGACTCAGGTGAGAGAACCCATGAACTCCCTCATCGGGGGAGTTTAAAGGGAATCTCCATTGCTCTGGGGTTGCAATCTGGCAACTCAGCTATGCAGGAGAAGGGGCTGAAGGGAGACGGGCATCTCAGTAGCTGCAGGACGCTCCAAGGGGGAGTGAGGAGTGAAGGAACACAGGTGCAAAGGTGCACCTGGAATACCTTGGTGAGCTCAGCCACCTGCACCAGCCGGTTCTTGCTCCCGGCATACATCATCTGCTGCTCCGGTTTGCATCCTGGAGAAGGGAGAGCAGAGAGAGAGAGAGAGAGAGAGAGGACGGGCACCTTAATTACTATGTTCGTAATCCTTGACAGCGCTTAGTTCAAAGCAACGCTCCCTCTAAGCTGTGGAGTCTTATGAGCAAAAATTCGACTTTCGGGAGCTGCTGGCATTGGAAGTTGCGAGCGAGCGATTTGGCTGCTGCATGATCAATGAGTTTGCTCTGGAGCCATCCCTTCCTGAGCCGAGAGAAAAATGTGGGGGGGGGGCTAAAAAACTCACACTAGCTCAGCTTAGAGGCAGGGGTCATTTCCTGCAGGAGCGCACAGGAGCGGAACTCCAGCGGTAAAGAGCCCAGGGGGCGGGCACATGCCACAAGCCCCACCCCCTGCTCCCAGCAGCCCTCAGTCAGAGCAAGAAGCAGCCAGGTAAGCTGCAGAGCCCCCCCCCGCCCCCCGGTCCAAAACAGTCCAGTGGCACCTTTAAGACCAAGTTTTATTCAGGTACAAGCTCTTCCTCCTCTATGAGGACAGATCTGCATGTTCTCCCCCCCCCCAATAGCTAGCAATCCAAAACAGTCCAGTGGAGCCTGAGCGGTGGGTGTTGCCTTCTGACACACTCCCGGTGAGGTCAGGGGGTGTGGCACATGCAAATGAATTATGCTAATAAGTTATGCTAATGAGCTCCTGCACCTCTTTTTCTACGAAACAACCCCTGCTTAGAGGGAACACTGGTCCAAAGTGCTTTGCAGCGGGCAGTGCAGTTTCCCGGAGAATGGAGGTGGGAGAGAAAATGATTCCTGCAGCCGGGGGTGGTAACCCGAGACCTAACCCACCCCAGACCCCAAAAACCATATTGCTTTCCGAATGGCAGGAGAATACATTTACCCGGCAGCTGCTTCCTTGCGGGGAGAAGAAAACGGCACAGTAAACGAGGAGCAGTTTAACGTGGGAGCGTTTATAGGGCACTTGAAACCTTTTAAAATGCTTTACAGCCGCTATCTCCTTAGAACCATCAGAGCAGCTCGGTGGGTTACACCGGTACTATGACCCCCACGTTCCAGAGAGGAGGCTGAGAGGTGGTGGCTTGCCTCGGAGGGCGCCTGTTGAGTTCACGGCAGAAGTGAGGTTTGAATGGGGGAATTTCCAGCTTGCACTCCGAGCAATTATTTTCGGATTGCGGTCTCAACCGACAGTCTGATAAGGTCCTAGTAAAAGCTCGATTTAAGCGTGATGCTGATGAGGGAAAGGCACAGTCCCCCTGTGGGGGACAACGCCGGATTTAAAGTGGGTAGGTACTTGGGCGAAAGAGGCTACACAGGCTGAGCGGCTACTTCCACGAGTAGCAGTCAAGTTTAAATACCTGGTGAGTGGAAAGTACTGGGGAGAGGGCAGGGGTGAAAGCTTTTTCCACAGGCAGCCTCCTTGTTTAGATCAGGCTTTAAATCACGCAGTGTTGGGGATTTTCAGGGCAAAACGTGGCCGTTTCCTTCAAAGCGGCCCATCTGCCCCACACCCCAGAGAGGATCCCAAACCAAATCCAGGATTAGAACTGAGCCAGTTTGGTGTCGTGGTTGAGTGCGCAGGCTCTAATCTGGGAGAACCGGGTTTGATTCCCCGCTCCTCCACTCGCAGCTGCTGGATGACCCTGGGTAAGCCAAAATTCTCTTAGAGCTGTTCTTGAAAAGAGCAGTTTCTGTCAATGCTCTC